TGGGGAGGCTGCGTTTCAGATCTATGCAGCTAAGATCTGGAACAATCTCCCTGAAAATGTGAGGGAGGCGTCTACTCTGTCAATGTTCAAACCCAGGTTAAAGACTGTTCTGTTTGCCTGTGCATACAACTGAAGGATTTTATCTCCATTTGTAATGCACTGCTGTCATTTATTTATTTATTTTTTTTAATTTCTTGTGTAACTTTGAAAGTGTTAATGGTTTTATTCTTTTGTGTGATTTTATTGTTTTTATTGTGTTTTAATCTTTTGTGTGATTTTAATGTTTTAATTGTGATTCTGGTGTTTGTTTTATGTGATGATTTGTGATGTGGACTGTGAAGCGCTTTGTGTTGCCCTGTGCATGAAAGGCGCTCTACAAATAAACTTTGATTGATTGATTCATTGATTAATCTTAACAATCTATGAATACATTCTAGTTTTTTAATATATTCTATTTTCCATCCCAAACGATCAGGAAAGTACAGACCATAGACTGTAAATATTAACAGATGTTAAAATAAAGGTAAAGTTGTTGATTGTGGACTGCTCTACATACACTCATGATGTTTGACTCTGTGGACCTTGATTTCCCAATGATGACACTTCTTACATCTTCATTTTAAATAAGGTCAATTAATAAAAGTAATTTCATGTATCAAGTTAAAATATATATATATAAGTAATTCAATAGAGACTCATAACCTTCTGATTAACATTATTCTGGCTGCTTTTCCTCCTTCAACATCGAAGGCAGATTTAGCTTGTATTGGACATAATATATAATCCTGATATGTTTACAGGACTGCACATGTGTCCTAAAAATAACATTGAGCTTTCTGTTCCTCGTTGAACACCGTAAAACATTCATGGCAACAGCATTAATGTGCAGAGTGGAGCTTACAGATCTTGAGTTCTGTTTGAAACCATTTTACAAGGCACATGTTAAATTATGGAGTAGATTTTTGGAGTAGTGTCGCCTCAGGTTTGCAGTTGTGAAGAGAAGAGAGATGTGGAGTTTCAAGTGCACTCATTTACTCATTTGTGCGAAGACATTGTGTTGTTATGTCTCGCACAGATTAATTAATATCTGAACTTTTTCAAAAGCGAGGCAACCAGTATGTGCCATCGGCCCCTCCAACCACCACCAACCATTCACACACACACACACACTGGACTCATTCTGGGCAATGGGGGTGAAGTGTCTGGGACACTTCGGTAGTTTGGCACTTTACAGCCGCCCCACTGTGGCATCAAGTGTTCCCAGAGGTTTAGTGTCTTGCCAAGGACACAACAACAGCAGACATCAGTGGGAGTCGATGGTGAAAGTCTTGAGGTGGGCTTGACCCCAAGACCTTCTGGCTCAAAGGCCAATGCTCTACCAACTGAGCTACTGTTGCCCCAAAATGATGCATTGAATAAAAAATATACTTCATTGGTTTGGTAGAGTTTTGATTCATATCCAAAGGGAAAAAAGAGCATTATTCTGGTCTGTGCAATTAATGCTTTATGAATCTTTATATAAAGATGGATAAATCGTTAGGTTTTTGGAATAGTTCATGATGATGTGACTTTTTGGGCATGTGACTTTACTCCTCAAATATTCAGTGCAAAATATCAGTATAAAATATATTTATTATAATATACTGTACTATACATCATGTCATCATCTTGTTCATAATTAGATTAACCAGCCAAACCAGAGTAACCAAAACCATGTTCAGGGGAAGCCCACATTTTTCTGCAAACATGATGTTTTGTCATTTCAAAGTAGATGTAACTATGTTAAAACAAGAAAAAGTTTTTTTATTTATTCTACATAAAACAGACATGTCTCCTAAGTGACCTGAAGTTTACTTTATCTTTTTTTTTTGTGGCAGTCCTGCATTTTGGGTCTTTCTGTTTTCACTGCATAACATTAATCTGTTTTTGGATGCTAATTTGTGTGTTATTAGCATTAGCCAGTGAGACCAGCCAGTCATGGTCTGCTTTATTAAAAACATCATTATATCATTTAGTTGTGTATTATATAGTCTTTCATAAGGGTTTGTCCCAAATGTTCATTATTATAGTCAAAATGTGAAGTTTTATAGCATCTTTTACAGCCATAAAACTGTTAAACACCAACATCTGAGTCTTTTAGTTTTGTTAATCCCAGGCCACTCACAAATGGATTAGCAGCACTGACACAGAATAGCAATGATCCAGGCTCACACGAAGCTGCACATAAAGGCTCACATGAAAGCACAGTATCAATTGAGAGCATAAGTTTGGGATTAAAACTTGTTGCAAGTGATTACTTTGCATGTAACATGAGCTCAAATTTCATCAGGCGTTTTTAATAAAAACATCCTCAGGAGGTCAATGTTTTTGTGAATAAAAACCTTGAGTGTCTTGGAAGTTTTGTCAAACATCCCAGCACTAACCAGTGTTTCCTCTGAGGAAGACAAAACAATCAGATATGTTAAAACAGTAGTGTGATAGGATAAAATGTTACATCTGATTGGATCTTCTTCCCTTCTGCAAAATCGTCACAAACCGGGTCTCTGGGGGTTCAAAGAAAATCATCAGGGGCAATATTGTCTCAATGCTTCAGAGAGACCCCTTTGGACTGTTTTGTCATATGTTTTTGCCTAATTTTTTCACCCTGAACTCAATTCATTCTCTTGGCTTCCTCATTTCTTCTTCTCGGGAGCACATATTTTCTTTGTGTAGTTTGGGTTTATAAAGGAGCAGATGCAGTGATCAGAAACAGCACAGTTAACAACAAAGGACACACCAGCAGTCAGGCCATAAGTAATGACTAGGTTGCGGGTGTGTCCTCTGTTGTGAGTTGACTGTGTTTTGAGTAAAATCCATGTAATTAAGTAATTGGTTAAGAGTAATAGGTTTGATTGCCTGCGTGTTTGTGTATTGAAGCAGTGCCACCACACCTCTTCTCATGTTCTAAATCAAAGCTAAAATTTGGGGTCTCAGTTGAGATTTATACTTTATTAGTTAAAAGAATACCATCCAGTGTGCACAATACAATTATATCATTAATAATGAAAGTATCAACTATCTATTCATGATTTGAACATCAGATACCCCAGCTTTAAACTTGATACCACATTTATTAAGGCTCATTTTGTTTGTTGTTACTTTGATTCCATCTTGCAGAGACAGTTCTTTGAGTATGTGTGTGGCATCCATCATGCTTTGATCCTGAAAAGAACATCATCATGTATTTTCTTATCTTATCTTTATCTGCGTCTGTCTTCTATTCTGCCTCGTTCTTTGCCGTCAATAAAATGTTTAAAAGTTCAGTGTCACTGTCACCATGGCAACTGACTGACTCTCAGCTGCCTCTGATTTACTGTTTGCAATCGTGCGCATGAGTTTTTGTGTTTCAAATCAATGCTTTGCTCGTGTTTACATTTCTCCCTCAGAGCTGTCTACTGGGGATTGTGTGACGTTCTCAGATTTCAGTAAAAATAAACTTCTGCAAACCGCACCAACAGCAGTATGAAGTACCATTACTACTACAATAGTATACACATTGTTTATTTTTGGAGATTGCAATAAGTACAAAATAACACTTTAATTTTTACATTTTTAATAATTCTTTCTACATGAAAACATGCACGACTATTTGGGCTAGACATTCTGATATTGGTTAATGCAACTATCAATATTGCAACAAACGCTGTGGGCCCCTATATGATAGAAATGTCCTGAACTAATACATTGTGAAAGGCTGATTTGCCATTTAAGTCCTAATTAAATGTACATTCTATAAGAAACATGTTCAGGGGTAAAGGCAGCACAGTGTTCTACCACAGTCTGTAAATATCAAAGGTATTCCGCCTAACTGAAACTTCATCTCAACTCAGTATCTCATTCAGTCTGAGGCAATAATGGACTTAGGCAATCAGAAGCCTTGGGGGGGCATCATCGCTGTTCCGCCTCAGCAGAGCTCTATAAGCCCGGTTCGGGAGTGCCACCTTCTCTAGCTCCAGCGTAGTTTGTAACAGATGCACCATAAAATCCCTCCAACTATGCATAGTTCTGTTCTCGACATCTACAGGCTTCTTCCTGAGCTTGGCACACTTGGCGTGTGAGATGTTTAAAGTGATTGTCTGGAGTTTGTCAGAAAGAGAGACAGAGAGGCACTTGATTTGAAAAAAACGACGCAAGCTCCCTCCCCCTTCCTTTCTGATTGGTCTACACCTACGTTTCCGTAACACTTTGAAATGTTAATCAGAGAACATATTATACATATATTATTAATACACATGCACAGAGGTTTTCAGAATTATTTGTGAACGTTTTTAATGAAAAAAAATATGTTTTTATGCACACAAAAAAGCGATCGTGGCAAAAACCAGGAAGTGCTATTATCATGAATTTCACATTATAGGACACATCTGCAGAGGATCTGATTATGGATATAGGTTCAGTATATACATAAGTACCTCAGCGCGGATGTTCAGAATTCTTTGTTCAGTTTTCATGTAGTTCCAGAGCCTAATAGAGGCTTGATTCGGAGGCTCCGCGAAAACAAACAACTGAGCATGCGCGCAGCTGCGAGCATCAGCGCCGATGATTGACAGCCCTTGGCATGACTCGATTGGTTAACCTCAACGGCACCGTGGATTCTGAACTATAGCTAAGAGCAGGGAAGGCGGGACTTGCCCGTAATATTGGAATTAATAAAATGACTTTTATTTTATGATTTTATATCAACATTTAAGGCCAGGAGGTCAATTTAACACATTTCCTAAAATTTGTAATTCATTTAGTTATAGACTATCACTTTAACTCTGCTCACTATATCCGCCACAGTTGACTGAGTTTGCTGCTGTGTCCGCCACTTCCATAAGTTTACCATCAATACAATCAATCTATTTCTTCAAAGCAGAAATGGGTGCATCATTTCTTGCACTCAGTGCAGAACCCTCCCCCCTGAGATAGTGACAAAAGTTGATTTTTCCTGGGTCAGGTCAGAATGCAGGGCAGCAGTCATGTCCAGCACTGTTGGATTCTACTCAGATCTAGCTTCATCTGGGGGGGTCTTGGCTCTTCCCCTCAAGGTCACTCACTCCGGGGCTCTGGTCAATTTACCTTTTTCAGTGTCATATGAAGAGTCTTGTCATTCAAGATCTTGACTTTCTTTGTCAATGATCAAGATGTTCACAGATATTTTGCACTTTAGGTTAAGATCTCACTCCCTCATGGCCGGAGCCAACTGTGTTAGTACAGTTTTTTAAGTCAATCAGCTCTCATTGTGTCAAACTGTGATTCACAGGAACACTTTGTAAATGATCAAAAGATGTTGGTTTGTCTCTAAGTTCTGTTTTTACTATACTCTTTCTGGGGAGGAAAGCAAAATTTACTGGCTGGATAATACTGAAAAAAGTTAAATTAACATTATTGTTTTGTGTAAGAATTTAAAGCGGGTCAGTGATTATTACGAATTATAACGATCAACATATAGATAATTTTAAAATCGAAATAAATGAATACACACAATCTTCAGTATGAAGTTGTTCGTTTGAAGAGAGAAAACATTATTGACAAAGGCTCAGACAAAGCAACACTGTTAGACTTGGTCACCATAAGTCACCACAGCCGTTGTTCTGAGAGTATGAGAGCTACCCTGTCGTGTGCCAGACCTGGGCCTATACCGGTTCTATTTATACTGGCCTCGTCGTGCAGCTCTAGTTTAAATATAGATGCTGAGTCTGGATTCTCTTCTTCATCTGAAATGCATGAATAATTGAACGTCGGAGGAGATGAGGTGGGATTCATTGAGGAGATGGATGGTCGCGGACCCAGATTCCCTCTCCGCATTGAGGTGTACTCTCTGGAGCAGTTCTACACTTTGGGCATTGAGAGCGTTGAACATTTATGTAATCTGTGTTGGGTTGTAGAATGCAGTCAGAAAACAATTCACTTGAGTTGCATAAGAGTGCGAATTAGCTGTAATTTTTGTCCATATTTCAAAAAACACAAAAATAACTATCAATTTCCTTCAGAATAGAGTTGATTGATGGCCACTGTGCTGAAGACTTTGGGACCGGCTGGTTTAGAAAACACTTTATTCATGACAGAAAAGGCAAAGGGTTTGTTCAAGATGATAAATACATTGGATTGTGTTAAAATATAAATAACTATTTTTCTTACTGACAAATTAAACTTCTGACTTTGCACAAAGTAATTGAGAAAAACGACCTCTCAATATTGTGGCATTGAGCCAAAACAAATAATTGTATTTAATAAAATAAATTGACGATTAGGTTTGTTGATGTTTGGACTGATTCTTGTGTTTCTGAGTTCTGCTGCTTTGCTTTGTGTTTGAGGTTTAATCAGAAAATGTCTGTTTTCACCTTCCACTTATCCAGACCCACATCCTCGATGCCTGATCAACTATACAAGAGTTTACACTTTAAAACAATTCTGTATCTCTTTCCCAACAGACGTATGCATTCTACTGGTGTTAGAACATGTCAAAAAGGTAAAAAATAATTAAATGGAAATTGGCTGTCTCCTAAATAGAGTTTGGACCTCTCCACTTCATGGACCCATATTGACTATGAAGCTGTTCAAACCATTACTGTGGTTTACAATGAGGCAAATGCACTGCATTGTAGTTCTGGTTTTGGGATTCTAGTGAACAGCTGATGAAACCTAACAACAGGTTGTGTTTGGTACTGATAAATAACCAATAATTGAATGTATTATTTATTCAAAGATATGTATTGTTTGGTCTTGGTAATGTATTCTGTGATGATGATTAAACAGATGGCCTGAATCAAGTCCTTTGATTCCCTGGGTGTGATGAGCCTTGATCTGTTCTAAGTTGGAAGTGTTGGAGACCACAGCTCCGTCAGTGCCAGTGCTTCTCCGAAACGCCGGGGGAAAAGTGGGAGCCTCAGTCTCCTCCCGTCACCATGGAAACTCCTTCCTCTCTCTCACCCACAGCATAGAGGGCGAGTGAGCAGAAAACATTAACAATCTGTGCTGAAAACAACAGTAGCATCACATGCAGTGGAGTACTTACAAAAGTTGTAAATGTCTGAGAAATATGTTAGTTCAAGCACTTTCATTTCTAAGGTTACAAAGCTAACATCCATTAAAATAAGTTATAATATTGAATAAGTAGTAATACTGATTTTCTCCTACAGGGGATCAATAAAGTATCAATCTCTCTAGCTATCTATCTAATAATAATAATAATGCTATTCATATAACACACCATGAAGGAAAAATGGCTCAATAAATAACAATCTATTATGATAATTTCACTAGATTTGATGGTAAACCTTTGCATTATATCAATCACAACTTTATAGGTCAAATTTGCAAAAAAAATAAGCCCTGAGTTTTTAACCATATCTATTTTAGCCTTAACCAGTGAAACTTGTTTCACTGTGATTCATGCTGGTTTGTGTCATTGTCCTGAATCCAAGATGCCTTTCCACCGTCTGGCCCCACTTATCACTACTACGTGCATTCATACTATTCCTTATAATGTTGGTTGGGTTGTGTTGCTTGCTGCTGTGATTCACTGTTGTGTTGGTACTTTGAAATACTGTTGTTAATGGTAAAGTTTTTTAGCACAATATGTCAGCTATAACTATAAATTGTAGCCCTAAAGTAGGCCTAGTTCTTAATGGCAGCACTGAAAGAGAGAAGGTACAAAATCTGACCCAAATTAGAAAAACCTATGGAGACTTGAGGGGGACATAAAAGAGGCGGGTACACCACAAATTGGGGATGGAGGAGAGGCAGGTCGACAACGCCACCTCCTGTCGAGCTGCCAGAGGGTTGTCATGGAGACGGAGCAGGCAGTCAGAGCCGAGAGGAAAGAACGCAGCGGTCACAAGGAAAACAGGGAACCAAACATGTGTCTGGGCTGACTTCTTGCAGTATTTTGTTTTTATTTCATTATATTTATAGTTCTTTGCTTTAGCCATAACACATTGAAAAGCTAGAAAAGCCTTCGAAGAGCGCAGTCCTCTTCCAAGAGTCACAGTTCAATTCCTTAGCTGAGAGTCAGTCAGTTAGTGCGAACCATAATAATACTCACACCAGTGGGACGGGACCCGGCTCAAAAAGGTTCATGAGCAAGTGCGCTGACATACTTGCAGTACCACTCCTAGCCAGTGGGGGTGGACCCAGAAAGAGAGTTATCCAATGTTTTTGTTTGGAGTCTTCTTTCCTCTAGAAAACAGCTGTACAGTATGGGCCAAAAGTTGACTCTTGCCCAAATGTTCCATCTGCGTGTCAATGCTGAGGGGAGTATTTGTTTTTTGACCACTCTAGTTTAGCTGCTGTGGAATTCAGAATGTGGCTGGTGCCAGCTAAAGCATGCGCACATGTTTTTTTTCTTCACATTTTATCACCTTTTTGAAAATGCCCATAGAAGCCAAGAGTGATGGCACATTAGTTTCAACGGCGGAGATAGGCGTCTGTTAATATTTACAGTTATGACTCACACATGGTTTTGTTTGGATTTCCCTTGATTACATATGGTGTTCATAAGGTTATGAACATGTGGTTACAATATAATAGTTAAGTAACTAAGTAAGTACTCTTTTTTTATTTAGCGCCTTTCACAGACCAGAGTCACAAAGCACTTTACAATTGTTGTGGGAATTTGTCTCTAGAGATGGGAGATGGCCATACAGGAGGCGCCTGCCAGAACTATTGTCCATGTCCTTAGTGGTAGGGGACACCGGAGCACCTGGAGGAAATCTACACAGACACAGGGAGAAAATGCAAACTCCAATCAGAAAGCCGTTTTTTCCGAACTGGATTCAAATCTAGGACATTCTTGCTGAGAAGCGAGAGTGTGCTCTGTGGATGCAGTACTGTACATACATGCAGACTTTACTGCATGTATGTACAGTACAGAGCCGGAGAAGATCTAGAACTACCACTGTTTATTCTCTGTGTACTCTGACGGTCAGTCTGATTTCTGAAAGCAGACAAAGCAGACAAATTATTCTCAGCCTGCCTCCGGGTGGTAATTCGGATCACCTCCAAAACCCTCATCTCTTGTTCATTGTGTCCGTATTGTGTTGTGGCACAAACTACTACTACTATGCCAATCGCATCACCTCTTCCCCGATTGGAGGCTGAAGTATTAAAAATGTTGGAGTCCCTCTGGAGGCCTGATGACATATTTAAATGTTTACGCCTCATTCTCGTCATGATTGTGCTCAGTGAGTCATATCTCTGAGATTAAAGAGCTCACACAAAGCTTTGACTCCCTGGAAACCCAAGATAGATAGACAGGTACTTTATTCAAATGTTCAGGTTACGCAACACAATCGTTTTAACATACTCACGCCTAAGACTAAGAACTACGTATTCATGAATGTTTACATTAAAATGACCAAACTTATAGCATAGTTGCCTTTATAGCCAATAAACAATGCTTTTTGTTTTGATGCAAAAAGCATTGATGAACAAAAAGGATTTAGGCAATTATGCCATGAGGCTAACAACATTAATTTTCTTTTCTTGCTGTTTTAGGCCAGTTTATTGTATAAAAAATATTCTATTCGGTCAACGCTGGTTACCACTGTATGAACTATCTTCAGTTGTTGGAAATGAGCAAAGTTCAAGGTTTTCTGCTCTATAGGGAAAATGCTGATGTATGGGTTTGACCCTGGCAGCACCTCTGTAGCACAAAGCACTATTCACAGTTACTGGGCCACATCCATCTCTTACAAGAGAATTATCTTCCATTCACCAAAGCTACACTAACAGTACACTGTGGGACAAGAACTTACATCTCCTGGGTTTGATTCTTCCTCCAGGTGGGGAGTTTTCATGTTCTCCATGTTTTTGTGTAGATTTGCTCCAGGTGCTCCGGTTTCTCCTTGCACTAATGGCATATACAATGGGTTTGAATGTAATGGAGGGAGTAGTTGGGGCTGGTCAGAGCCTTTGATGCACCAACTTACTGCTTGGAAATTGCAACATATTGATTCATAATAGATCCTTGGTTATACTTTAAGTAACAACACCACCCCGAAAGGTGTCTACTGACAGCCTCATATAGTTTATACTGAACCAAAAATAAGTAGCAAATTAATTGATTGATATAAACTCTACAAATAACGTTCAGTTATCATTTATTTTATTCCATAGTATAATATAAATCTAACATATTTCAGGGAAACACTCATTTGTATCTGGAGAAGTCAGTACAAAGTCCAGGTAGAATATTAAAACCATGTTGTAGCATTGTCCTTGATTCTGGTTCTCTCTATTAAGCCTTGGGTGATGGGTGTCAGTGTAGAGTACGGTCTCTGAGGTGGGACATGACAGTTTGCCATCATCGCGACGGGCCATTGCTTTGTTCCAGCTTGCTGTGGGATTTCCTGTCACTCCACCGTGCTCCCTCTAACCCTTTAGTCCGTGTCTTCTCTCCTCCAGATATGCTTGTCCCCTGGTAACATCATCTTTTAATAGGCCACCACAAAGAATCCACTCAAAGTCACGGTGTTTTTCAAAATGTGATCTTGAGCCTATAAATAGACTGAGATGACTTTTGGGTGTTGCCAGTATTCAAACGTTGCACATCCTTGCTCTCAGTACCTATAAATATCCTTCTCTGTTTTGTTTTGCGTGCTTCAAACAACGTTGCCCTCAAAAATAGAGCATTTATAATTGCTTATCATGGGTAATAGAATGGTTTGTATCCCTGTTTTACACCTAAAGCATAAGCATAAGCCAGTAGACCGATTGAATAAAGACCTCATTAACGAAGGTTCCTCTTCTCTTCTTGGTGCCTCTATGGTACACAGTAGCAAGTTAGCGATGGTATTACTTTGAAATTTCAACAGTATACTTTTGTCTTCCTCAGAAGCCCTTCTGAAGGAGACGCAATGTTTATTTATATGGTACAATTTTAGTAAGAGGTTTGTATTCATGCCTTTATATCTTCTGATTTTATAACTTGTTTGAACCAAATGCCAAGCAAAATCTTAGTTTGTGACTTCCTGTTATCACTATGCCACTAACAATAATTCTGATTAAACAAATAATTCCGATTATGCATCTTGTCACTATTTGAATCATTGAATGTGAATGTCAACTTGCCAACAATTGTTTATCAGGAGACACAAAAGACTTTACATTTTAAACCTCTTAAACCGTGTTGATCATATTCATTTTCTTCTGCCCACAGATTCTGGCAATCATCTCCATCCTCTTCATTGTGCTCTCCACAATCGCCCTGTCGCTGAACACCCTCCCGGAGCTCCAGGACACCGATGAGTATGGCCAGTCCACAGACAACCCTCAGTTGGCTCACATTGAGGCCGTGTGCATTGCCTGGTTTACCATGGAGTACCTTCTCCGCTTCCTTTCCTCACCCAACAAATGGAAGTTTTTCAAGGGCCCACTAAATGTCATTGACCTTCTGGCTATCCTTCCCTATTATGTGACTTTATTTCTGACGGAATCCAACAAAAGTGTATTACAATTCCAAAATGTTCGCCGTGTTGTCCAGATTTTTCGGATAATGCGAATCTTGCGAATCCTGAAATTGGCTCGTCACTCCACCGGACTTCAGTCTTTGGGGTTTACCCTCAGACGAAGTTACAATGAGCTTGGTCTACTTATACTTTTTCTAGCAATGGGCATCATGATCTTCTCAAGCTTGGTGTTTTTTGCAGAGAAAGATGAAGAAGACACAAAGTTTAAAAGTATTCCAGCTTCATTTTGGTGGGCGACTATCACAATGACAACTGTTGGCTACGGAGACATCTATCCAAAGACTCTTCTTGGGAAAATAGTCGGAGGTTTATGTTGTATAGCTGGAGTCTTGGTAATTGCCCTTCCAATCCCGATCATTGTAAATAACTTCTCAGAGTTCTACAAGGAGCAGAAGAGGCAGGAGAAAGCACTTAAACGAAGGGAGGCGTTGGATAGAGCAAAACGTAATGGCAGCATTGTGTCCATGAATCTAAAGGAGGCATTTGCACGTAGTGCAGAGTTGATGGATGTTGTGGTAGAGAAAAGTGAAAGACCACACGATAACCATCTCTCACCAAGCAGGTGGAAGTGGACACCAAAAAGACAGGGCTCGGAAACCAGTTCAAATCATTCGTTCAATGCACAAGAGCAAGGTTCGCCTAGCAAGACCAGTAGTCCCCAAAGAATAAACGTGCAGAAGCTGGAAGAGATGTACAACCAAATGGCCAAGACACAATCACAACCCAATCTGAATGCAAAAGGTTCTCGGTTAGGCAAGCACAGAGATGAAATAGAACTAGATCCAATCCAAGATCACGGAGCAGTGGTTCTAGGAGGAATTGGGGATATGAAAAGCTTGTCTAGCATTGACAGTTACATTAGTTGTGCAACTGAGTTTCAGGAAAATCCACGTTTCTCACACGGTCCAACAATAGACCTGGGTACTAAAGAGACAAACCTCTTCTCGCACAGTCCTGTCATTGCATTGGCCAGTCAGAAAAGTAACATGATAGGTCAAAAGCACACAACTGAGTCCATGCTAACACCAGTCTTTGTCGCAAAAGCAAAATGTTCAGAAACTGCCAAGAAATTGTTCTTTTCCGGAAATTCCTCAAAGATACTTGCACCTAAAGGAAGTTGTCGCAGCGATGGGGAGTCTGGACCATCACCTCTTTCGGATTCGTCAGCTCTGTCAGACTCTTTGTTGAGCCCGGGGACTTCGATATATACCACTGCCAGCAGCAGGACCCCACCTAAGTCCCCTGAATCCGCCTCACTTGGGCCCATGGTTTTCACTTTCCACGACTCGTCCATTAGTAAGTACATTGACGCTGACACAGATGATGATGAACATCACAGGGACGTTTCAGACACCAACCCGTCAGAGAGACTGCTTTCCAGATCAAGTCCCAAGTGCAACATTAGCAGGAACTACCAGAAGGGCACCAACCATTTTGAGACTGCGCAAAAAATGTTGGGACAAAACTGTTTGTTCCCACTGGGTATCCATGAAAACCACGTTGGACCCGAAATGGGACGAGGTCGAAAGGGGGACAGAGGACGGCAAAATATCCTAGATGAAAATCTCTGATTCAATAGTGGATACAGATTATTTAATAATCGCTGAAAACCGAGCCTACATTACCAGTAGGGGGCCTATATTATAACAAGAGTGGGTATGAAAGATACTCCCGTTGGTGAATGCTGCTGTGTCCTTGGGCAAGACACTTAACCCGCCTCGTCCCCAGTGTCTGTGTACACTGGCGTATGAATGTGTGTGTCAATGGTTCCATGATGTAAAGCGCTTTGAGTGCCTTGAAAGGTGGAAAAGCGCTATATAAATGTGACCATTTACCATTTACTCCATTCAGAAGGAGAATGTCACTGCCCCATCTTCAGTTCATTCCTGATACTTTAAGTAGTTTGTGGTAGCCAACATATATGGTTAAAGTGGGAATACATTTTGCAAACAAATGCTTTTGGCTGAATGAGGATAACAGCAATTGCCCAAATCCTAAATCACATTTTATAGTCTGGAGACACTGGAGAGAACCTACAAGCCTATGAATTGTGCCCACCATTCCCAATCCTGGCCTTAGTCATTGACATAATTGTAGGAACCGTGCATGTCCTCAAGTGTGCATGGCAGGGTGAATGGATACAGTGAGTACACTGTTTGGATTGTCTTAACTGATTTATTTTTATATGAAATAGATAAGAAATGGTTATGTATAGAGAACATTATCAGAATATCTAGACATTACATTATAAAAGGTGGATGTCTTGAAACCATGGCAGCAGTTATCAAATGATTCTGTCAGTCACAGATGAGAATGAATGCTGAACAGTATTCTGTTGTCCTTCATATCTCCATAACTGAATTATATCTCCACCTCTGTATGATTTAAGAATCATTTTCCCACTGCTTCAGCTGTTTCTTTTTGCTTAAAGTGCACATGAATGATGCATGCATGCACCATAACAACATCTTGAGTCTTTCATAACATGAATGAATTATAAACAAATCCAATATTTTTATAAAACATTACGTTTCTGTTGGAAAGGAGCATGACCACTTTTGATCATTACGAAGAGGAGAATGACAAATGAAGGCAATAAGCAATCAGAAGGGACACATTTACCACACATCCAGCCTGCATCTATGTAACAGGTTTGTACAGGAACCATATACAAACTATGTATGTATCAAAGGCAAACTTACAGATAAAAACAGTCACACTTAGTTTCCATGGTGACCACAGCTGCCCGTTCGCCATCGCTCTGTGTTGCTTTGATAATTGGGCTTCTGTAGGTTTGAGTGCATGAGACATACACTACACACAAGAGTGACCCACACATGGTCCCACACTAAACACAATATGGACATTTTGCATCTTATAGAATCATTCTAATAATGCATTTTTGTCTTCAAAAGGTTCTATTATAGAGGGGGATGGGGTGGGGGTTATACTGAATTGCTTTTATTACATGCACCCAGACAAACAAAATGGTATAAACTGTTCTATGTTTTTATTCATAAAATACCAACAATTCAAAAAAATTTACCTAAATTGTATTGAATTGTTGGTAGTGCTAGTCTGTTCAGTGCCATAAGTTTTACTGTATACTGTATGTACAAAAACATGAATCATGAATGTTATTGGAATGGGTATGAAGAGGCATTTTTGTGGTTGGATTTGCATATTATGTTTGTAATCTGGGTTTATAGTTTACGATGCATTTTGAATGACCCCTATTAGAAGTGTGATCTGAAAGAGTAATGTTCAAAACACGAATCCTGTAGTCTGACCAGTCAGAACTACATTATTTTACTTTCTTTGGACAAAATGTAGACGGAATGTCGAAGGGCAAACAATCTTGTGAATTTCACAGCATTCAGCAACTGCTCCAACTTCAGGTAGAACATACTTTCTCCTTAAGTTAACAGGATGTGGTTTATTTAAAAATTCCAACCTCTTGTAATTGTATCAATTCAAACTGAAATTTTGATTTGATTGCATTTCATTTTGCAGCTCAATTTGACAGACTTTAGAGTGTTGCTTTTTAGATATTTATCTTGCAGGTTTCATTTCCGGTTTTAATCGCACAGTTGAACCATTTCATATTGCTCAGACCCGTAGTGAGAGGAGGCACTGTGTGAATGGAATAGCAATGACTGCGAGACATTAACGTCTATCTGTGTGTACGGCATAGGACCATGTGTGGTGGGGGCACTATGAGCGAGGGCAACTGCAGCCTTATAGACACAAAATAATGGTTTCCAATGCATGAATTTCTTTGCGAATCCTGCATTTGACCATTTTCTCTAGTATATACATACACATATACATATACACACACACACACACACACACACGCACACACACACATGGAAATATTCAGTGAACAGAAACATGTTTAGATGTAGCTAAGGAGATTAAAGGGATACTGACTCTGAACCTTAAAATGCATTACACCATTTTTAATTTATATATGCACAATGGAAATATACTACAGCAACAAAAAAGTTATGAGTACATGGATTTATGACCACTTGTCTTGGCAGAATTTATAGTAAACAACAGGAATGTACAAGCATTGGTGGACAGTGAGGATTTAACAATTAACACTACCAACCAAATTGAATTAAAATGTTAAATATGCATTCTTGACATCCAATATTGTAATAGTGTGCAATTTCAGAAAACAGGTTGAGAACATAAGAATCTGGCGTTTTACTTATCAGATTTATTTATAACAGCCATTAGCACTAATTGTGTTGTTGTTAATTAGGGTGGAAGATGCGTGCATTTTGTACTTGTTCCTTCTAGAAAAGGATACATTGAAAACATACCACTAACAAATGCAAGCTTTACACAGTAAATCTGTTTTCAACAAGACACACAAACCTTTAAAAACAATATCAAAAAGGCTGGTAATCATTTTAAAAATCATACTGCATCCCTTATTGAATGATTGTTCATGGTCTTCTCTTGGTAATGCGTTCCATGCAGGCACTGTCATTGCACCCATTCATAATTTGCTATTAATTGTTCATTTACATTCATTCATTTGCAGATAAGGATGCATTTCCCATTGAACCCTGATAAACCCTTTACCACATTGCTTGTGCAATGATGTTGTTTACACTAAAATACGCTAAATATTGCTTGTTGAAATATGCCATTGCATCATCACCACATGAAAACAGGGTCATTTTATTCTGAAAACTCAGTGTATTAAGCTTTTAGAATGATTGTTAACTGTAGTCAGGGACCATATTAAACTTGTATCTCAACAATAAATGACAATCAATAGTCTGTGAATAGGCAGCACATTGCTACACAATAAAGCATGACCATACACATAATACTGCCATTATAGCATTTTACTCTATTGATAATTCATGCATGTTAAGACGGTAATACTGTGAGACCATAATTATTAAACATTTACAATAAAATTCATCTTAATGGTGCACTATGCAACTTTTCAGGTTGAGAATACTGTATGCCACCTGCTTGTCTCAGTAGAGATTTAATTGCCTTAAATGTTCCATGGTCTTGAAATCTGTTTAAACATATTAGGTGTTATTCATCAAAACGCTGTTGGAGTGGATTTCCTCTCCATAGATCGGACCTGTTCCCTTGGCCAAGTGGCATTACATGTTGGTTTCCACGGACATAGAGGCGTGTACAAAAGGATTAAATCTGTTCCGTAGTGCACCTTTAAATTGCTATTTTAAAAAACACATTTTTACTGCAATGACCATGTAGAAAGATAGAGACATCACTATATGAAGGACAAAAACGAAGAGCACAAGCTGTACAGTGAATTACATTTAGATTACATTTATTGCTGCTTTAGCTGCTATATTTATCGTTTTTTACCCATAAGCCCCTTAAGGACATATTGTAATTTCCGAATATCATACTTTCAGACTTAGAGCACTGTATTTCAGGGTTGGGGTCCATTCAGGAGGACGAGAGCAGATGTCTTTCAGTAAAGCAGAGCCAATTAACAGCACAAGATACATTTCAGATGACAAGACCCTAAGTTCCATAAAAGCTCTATTTTTTCTACAGCGTAAACTCAGAGGAATTGACCCCAACCTTGCCTAAGCCATTATCTTTGTAAAGTGTAACAAGGGAAAAAAGTATATCTCTTAGCCAGCTCTTGTACAATGTTGTTTGTAGGTCCCAAGGCTGTCTGTTTTGTAAATGAAAAACATGAAACAAAACATTTTTACTTGTTGACTTTCTAAGCTGTTGTTTCTGTATCAATGTTCCTGTTTCAGTGCATGTTGTAACTTTGGCGTTGTGACTGGTGAAGTTCACACACAAGAGCCAGTACGTGTCATGTTAAAAAAAAGAAAAAATGGAGGAGGAAGAAAGTGTCTCAATGTCCCAAGATATTTTTGTTTCTTAAGAAAAACAGTTCCCTTGAATGAATTAAAAAGGAAATAAACTAAATCACTTGACTTACTATGTTGTTTGATTGACTCAATGATCCTTAATAATTGTATGGAGCCATTTTCTCCTCAGCGTGATGCAGATTGTGGGCAAGATCCTCAAGTTCCTCGAGTTAAGCTGTTTGTCATAACCCCAAGCAATATGGTCACTTAATTATGCTTAATTGGTGAAAGGTGAAATGACTGCTGTCGTTGTGTCCTTGGGCAAGACACTTAACCCCACTTTGCCCAAAGCTCCAACTGAGAGATCAAGGCTATGCTCACACTCAGAGAGCAGCCGTCCTCCTGTGGACTCACCACCTGCAGAGGGTCAGTGAGGGGCTGGTGCTATGAGACTTGGGTGGCATCTCTGACTGCCACCCCCCTGACCCAGAAATGGATTAAAGGGTAGAAGATGGATGGATGGATGGATGGATGGTGAAAGGTATACATTGACTTTAGTTAAGGGCTTTCATTCCCCAGTTAGAAGACGTGAAGGTATTAGCTTAAATTATCAAAAAGTAGCAAGGTTACAGTATAATTGTGACCATGCTTGCTAGTGAAGGCTACACGCCATACATCGCTGTAAAAATGTGTCTTTTGAGGTAAGAAATTTAGATAGAAAAATATCATACATGCTTTTAATGGGGTAAAATTAAAAATATGATTTAAAAAAGCGTACAGGATAAAAAGTGTTGGGTCGTCTACTGCTCATCAGACACGAACTCATGAAGAGAGCTGACCCAAAATGGTACAATGGGAAGTAACAAAAATAATTTAGTGTCTTTGTTATTCTTTTTCACTTTTTAACTTTGAAAATATACAATTATTAAATGCATTTGGCGTGATAAAAAAATTTCAAATGCTAAAAAATGGGAGCACATTTTAAAAGGCCTTTTCACACCCTTGTTAAAACACACTACAGTTTGGCTTAGACTTACCTCAGGACCTACTTTGTGTGATTGTTACTTCTGGCAATGGAAGGGAGAGTTTGTAAAGCATTTCTTTTTTATGACTGATGATTCAGCAGATGCTGAAAAAGTATGCACTCTTTAACATTAAATACATTTGAACTTACAGTCGTTCAGTTTTCTTGCATGACTAAATCGGACTGGTGTTGAAGGTTCCTGATGGGGATTCAGATGAAGAGGAAGCTGTGGGCCGTCGGACAGGAGCATGTGTTGAGCCGCTCCACTCGCCTCCACACGCCTCTGCAGCGCGGGTTCCCCACCGCCTGCCACTGGAGAGATGGACTGCAAAATACAGTCACGTACAGTATTATACACACATGTACAGTACACGCTTTGAACCAACAGGGCTCTCTGCTGACATCTAGTGGTGGTACACTGCAAAAAGGGATCAAATATGAGGTTATAAAGGCTCAAACCAAAGCACATAAAATGGGACAAGAATTATAAGTCTTTTTTCAATAACTATTGCATTGTATTTCTCATTCCAAGGTAGACATTTTTTGTAATATTGAAAACAAGATCATATTGTTTCTTCCATTGGTAAAGGGTGTGGTGAGTGCAAGATGTTACTTTCATGTTTGAAAGCACATGTGAAAAGAAAGAGAGCCTTTACAACCATGCACTAATTATTGCTGTTTTTTTCTCCACAACAGAAATAATTTTGTAAAAGTAAAACTTTTAAATTAATCAGAGCACAACGTGCTGACTTCATCTTATTCGGGCACATATTTATCTTAGAAAATACAATACCTGTCATAGAGTGGATTTTAATTATTTTGGTATTTATTTAGTGTTTTCTTTTTTTCCTCAATCTCCCTGTACCTGAGCTCATTCCCACTGCTTTCTGGTCCATTGAATTTGTTTTTTACCCTGGACTTTTATTTATCTTCTTTATTCAATCATATTATTTTGGCATGACTGCATTTTAGGTCCTTCCTTGTTTTAACCTCACAACATTATATTTTGCGTACTTTACAGTGGGGCGGGTCCCGGCTCAAAAGTGGCCAAAAAGATGTGCGCTGACATGCTTGCAATACCACCCCGGGCCGATGGGGGTGGACCCAGAAGAAGAATTAGCCAATGCTAACATATAGCATTAGCAATGCTGAGGGGGGTGGATTTTTTTGGACCACTCTAGTTTAGTCGCTGTGAATTTTTGAAGTGGAGTCAAATGAATGGAGCTCCTGCCGGCTGACGCATGCGCACATGCGTTTTTTTCACAATTTTCTTGTGGGCGGGACCACTCTCCAGGAGAGCACACATTTTTGGTCCATTAGTTAGAATGGCAGAGATAGGCGTGACTACGTCCGTTAATTTTTACAGTTTATGGTACTTTATAGTTTATGGTACAAGAAACAGCCGAGTGAAAAAGACAGTGGTCCACTTTTTTTGTCTAACAGAGTGCAATGTGAAAACTGATCCCGGAGCCTGGAACTCTGGAAGATAGAGTTTACTACATAATTCCTAATACTATTTGTTTGTGGTTGGAAAGTGTACCTGGTGGCGTTGGTGTGGAGGTGGTCCCCGTCCCCTGCACAGTGTCTCTGTCCCTGAGCCAGTGCAGGGGGCTGACATTCCACACAGACCTGGTGCCCCTCCCTCAGGTGCTGCATCCAGTGAGTGTGCGCCCCTCTGCTCTGAGCACACTCCGCTGTCAGGGAGCTCAGCTGGAACCGCACACAGTATCTACGCACAAAGACACAGTAAAGCTGAGGTACCTGATTTTCACTCTGAATTTTTTTTTTAATAAGAATCTAGTGTGTTCTTTTTGTTCACACAGCCTTTGGAGCTTGGCCACAAGCACAAAAAAGCAGCTTTTTCAAACACAAACCTGAGTCTGGAGGAATTATTAGCACTCATTATTGTGGCTCTCATTGCTCTCCCTTAAGAAGTACTCATTATTTATTATTTTCTTTGTAGATAAAAATGTAGATGTCAAATACTCAGCTCCTTAGCTGGAGCTGACTATTGACTCACATTCTGCATTTTTCTCACCCAAAAAAATTCTTAACTTTTTTTTTTTTTTACTTCAAATAAATCACATACAAAAAGTGAAAATTTGTAGATGAAGCTCTATAGTCATCTGAAAAAAAACCACACACACACATTTCAACCTCCGCGGGCGGTTATCCCTCTCTAAGCTCGGGTCTTACCAGAGGCCTGGGAGCATTAAGGTTCTGCGCAGTATCTTTGCTGTTTTATATTTAAAATACATTTAAAATAAATATACTATATATACTATAAATAACTTATTTAGAAATCCAATATTTTTCCAGCAATTTCCTGATTTATGTTCAATCATATTTTGTAATAATTAGCAATCTACAATAAATGATATGCAGAAGTGTATTTCAAATGGGGTAAAGGTGCACTTTATTTATCCCTGTAGAGCAATTCATCCTCTGAATTTGACCCATCCTGATGCCACTGAGGCGTCTTTATGGAGCAGTGGTCGCCTGAGTACAGCGCCCGGGGTCCCATTTCCAGATGTGGATACCCGGCTTGGTCAGGTCAGCATACCTATTATGCATGTTTTTAGTGGTAGGGGAAACAGGAGCACCTGGAAGAAACCTACGCAGGCGCGGGGAGAACATGCAAACTCCACTCAGAAAGATCCTGGATCCCAGGATCTTCTAGCTGAGAAGCAAGCATGCCCTCTTTTTGGTAGAGCCAGAAAGCTGTTTTTTGTGTGGATTATATTGTCTAAATATATTGTATTGTGATACTAAACTAGTAACTAAAAGTCTCCTATATGGAGACACATATGGTACCAGCTTCTGATACCCAGCTCTCAGTCGTTACATAACACACTAATCAAAAATGCAATACTCCAATTTCCCTTCCTCTTTTCAACTACATTTTTCCTCCACTCATTTTCAGAATGAAATGTCAAAAGGCAGCTCCTCCCTCTCCCTCCCTCTCCTTCCTCTCCTCCCTTTCCTCCCTCTCCCTCCCTCTCCTTCCTCTCCTCCCTTTCCTCCCTCTCCCTCCCTCTCCTTCCTCTCCTCCCTCTCCTCCCTCTCCCCCCTCTCCTCCCTCTCCTCCCTCTCCCTCCCTCTCCTTCCTCTCCTCCCTCTCCTCCCTCTCCTTCCTCTCCTCCCTTTCCTCCCTCTCCCTCCCTCTCCTTCCTCTCCTCCCTCTCCTCCCTCTCCCCCCCTCTCCTCCCTCTCCTCCCTCTCCCCCCTCTCCTCCCTCTCCTCCCTCTCCTTCCTCTCCTTCCTCTCCTCCCTCTCCTCCCTCTCCCCCCTCTCCTTCCTCTCCTCCCTCTCCCCCCTCTCCTTCCTCTCCTCCCTTTCCTCCCTCTCCCTCCCTCTCCTTCCTCTCCTCCCTCTCCTCCCTCTCCCCCCTCTCCTCCCTCTCCTCCCTCTCCTTCCTCTCCTTCCTCTCCTCCCTCTCCTCCCTCTCCCCCCTCTCCTCCTCTCCTCCTCCCTCTCCCCCCTCTCCTTCCTCTCCTCCCTTTCCTCCCTCTCCCTCCCTCTCCTTCCTCTCCTCCCTCTCTCTCCTCCTCTCCTCCCTCTCCTCCCTCTCCTCCTCCTTCCTCTCCTTCCTCTCCTCCCTCTCCTCCCTCTCCCCCCTCTCCTTCCTCTCCTCCCTCCTCCTCCCTCTCCTTCCTCTCCCCCCTCTCCCCCCTCTCCTCCCTCTCCTCCCTCTCCTCCCTCTCCTCCCTCTCCTTCCTCTCCTCCCTCTCCTCCCTCTCCTTCCTCTCCTCCCTCTCCTCCCTCTCCCCCCTCTCCTTCCTCTCCTCCCTCTCCTCCCTCTCCCTCCCTCTCCTCCCTCTCCTTCCTCTCCTCCCTCTCCTCCCTCTGAACACAGACATGTCATTTAGAGCACTGTAGATTGGTGTACTTTATTTTACCCTGTCACTTCACTGTCAGGAATATCTCGTTTCTTCCTGTCGTTGCCATAGCCACTGCTGGTGATGAGAGCCGGAACTGTTGGAGAAAAGGTATGGTATATATGTTAGATTTGTTTATATAATTTCAACAATAAAAACATGTTTAAACATTTTAGCAATTGTTTTAAAAGCCAACAATGCTGTCATATTCCTCTCATACGAGTGCTATGTTGTAGAGCTCTGGTGCTAGCTCCAGTGCTAACTAACTCTGCGTGGTGGTGAGTTTGACGGTGTTTGATCAAGTTGTAGGTGTTATATGTGTTTGTTTTGGACCCACCTTGTGTCAGTTTGGCCTTACACAACATAGTCTGCTCTACTTTTGTCACTCGTTTTCTGAAGCACCCTCAGTGCAAGAAGGAGCGCTACCGCAGGGCCTTTATCCCCACCGCTGTCAGACTGTACAACAAGTCACTAAGTCACTTGCACTAGGACTAAAAAACCTGCACTACTATTGCCACTGTTTCTTCGATTTCCACTTTTTAATTGCCACTTTTTATGGAACATAATATATCCTGCATTCAACATGTTTGTACATTTCTCTCTTTTGCACTATCTTGAGTGATTCTATCCATGGCAGATGTGACATGTCAATTTCTCCTGTGTGAGAGCAATAAAGTCTATCTGATCTTACTTTAAAAAACTGTCATACATTAAAATGCCGCTAAGCTAACGGTAAATCGGGTAGAAATGTGGTATCGGTTTCCCAGATCGGGTCCTGTGGTATATGAGTACGAGAACAAACCTAACTGGACAGTGAACTGGACACTGAACTGGATACCAGACGTAAAATAAGTCTTAACTTGAATATTCTTCAATAACTAGTATTCAATATTTCATAAATAAAACATATGAGGTCACCAAAGGGCTGAATAAGAGACACAATACTGACCAGGTTCAGTTGGAGACTATAATCACTTTGCCATATCTATAGACATTGTGGTTCAATGGTTGAAAGAGAAACAAACTATAGCAGTGTTTCAGAAACCTCTGACAGAGAGGTTTGAGAATCACTGAACAAGAACCTTTCATTATGTTCATCCATAATGCTTAATCGGACACATTTGACTTTCACAGCGAAGAATAGATAAGTTGATGTGAAGAGGAAAAATACCAATTAACATTGAAATACCTAGTAAATTGAATTCCATATATCTGATGAACCACTGTCACTTAGACTCGCAAAGCCTTGGGAGATGAGAAATAAATTATTGAAATGAACCAGAAGATCTGTGTATTTGATTTAATTTATCTTCATAAACTCAAGTTAACTTTAAGTCTTTTCAAACGAATGCATTTTCATGTTACACAGCTTTTTGTTTCACATGAATAGCTCCTGGAATTATGGACATATGAAGCATAAAACACAACTAAGAAATTTCCTTTGTGAATCAATTGTCAAATGAATTGTCTTTAAACATAATAGAGAAGGGATGGATTCTTTTGTTAAACTCAGCAATACATTCTGTTTATAGTATGTATATTTTTTTACTTTTGTCAAAAAGTTATTTGACTGGCTGACTTTCCATTGTAAGTAACATGAAATCACAAACTAGGAATTTGGGGCAAACAAGGAGCTGTGACGTCTCGGAAAACACAGTGCACAGGCATCAAACACAAATGGCAGAGAGACTGACCCAGTGAATGATGGCAGTGTCCGTGTGGAGTCCAGTACTGTGCACACCCGGCCTGCTCTTCCAACAGAGGGCAGGACACTCCTCCGTTCTGTCGTTCCCTCAGGACGCGGCGGCTCCTCCTGCGCACAGCGGCTCGGCACGACTCTGTACAGCCCGACCACTGGCTCCACTCACTCACCACACATGACACAGCTACGGCACAGACAAAAGTCGATTGTGTAAAAAAATATAATTTTGATAGACAAATGGGACTAATTAACCAAAAATATTTCTCACACATCATAAATCACTTTCTTATTCTTTATTTTGACTCTCATCCATCCATTTTCTTCCACTTCAACTGTTGCCTGGTTGCGGGAGAAGCAGTGTAAAGCAGAGATGCTCAGACCTCCCTAATCATCTGGCTCATCAGGGAGAATTCCAAGGCGTTCCCAGGCCAGCAGAGAGACATAGTCCCTCCAACATGTCGGCCCCAGGTCTCCTCCCAGTGGGACATGCCTGGAACACCTCCCCAGGCTGTTGAAGGTTCTGATTCTTATTCTATCCGCTTCACACTCGGCTACAAACCGTCACAGTGCATTCTAAAGGTCCTGGTTTGTTGGAGCAAACAGGACAACATCGTCTGCAAACAGCAGAGATTAAATCCTGTGGTTCCCAATCAAGACACCACCACCACCTGGCTGCGCCTGGAAATTCAGTCCATGAAAATAGTGAACAGAACTGGGGACAAAGGGCAGGCTTGACATGCACCGGGAAAAGGTCTGACTTACTGCCGGCGATGCCTGTTTTGACTAGATCTCACAATCATTTTGATTCTGTTTTACAATGCTCTATTAAGAACACCAAGATGTGAGAGACAGACAAACTCTATGCCTGCAATGGGAACTGAATCAGTACAGCACATGGAAAGGAGAGTTCCCTGTATTACTCAAAAAAGTATGTTGTTTTTATACTTGTTTTAGTGTTTGAAACATCTGTAAACTCTGATAAAAGATATCATCTGTACTTCCGTTAGCAGGTTTTACCGAGGTTTCGTTCTTAATCCAAAGAACTCTCTTAAGGGAATGAGAAAGTTAAGAACGAAACGCTGGCGAAACCTGTTGAATGAAGTACAGATGATGGGTGAGAAACCTTCCTTTGTTTTGAATAACCCTTTATGACTGAGCGCTTACACAATTTCTGTCAAAAGAAGGTGCAAACTGCAATGAATGAATAGTGTAAATGGCAAAAATATCAAACAGAGTTTAATAATTCAAATCTTCCACTCTGTGTTGCATAAATAAGATAATTGCTGTTAAAGTACATATGATTCCTAAAATGTGGTCCATTTGGTCCATTCCTTCAACTGGTCTATTGTGTGGTTCGGTGTGTTCAGCCAATTCTGTTCAAGACAAAACATTCGGGTTCTGGAAGAAGTTTTAGCTCCTGTTGAGTGAAAACGCCGTCGCAAAGTTTTTGTTCTGTTTTCCCGTCCTCCTGACGATGCTGTAAGTTAGGTAAATTCCACAAGTTCTTGTGTTGAGTTTGTAAAAAGGTGTATCCCGTGTTTTGTGGGATAAAAATGTAAGCAAAAATGGGGATTAAAGGAGATAAAAATAGCGAGCAAGCGAGGGAGGAGCAGCAAAGTGAATGCGAGCTGCTTCTTTCCAGAGTCGCACACACACCGTCAGTGACTTGTTGGTGTCATATGAACCGGGCTCGGCTTCCCCGACTCTGAGGAGCACAGGACTGGCCTCATGTTGTGCCAAGAGTGGAACCCAAACCATGGGGTGGCTAGCGTTTCAGATCCATGCAGCTAAAGATCTTGAAACAATCTCCTGAAATGTGAGGGAGGCGTTACTCTGTCATGTTCAAATCAGGTTTAAAGACTGTTCTGTTTGCCTGTGAATACAACTGAAGGATTTTTCTTGCATTTTCTAATGCACTGGCTGTCATTTTATTTATTTATTTATTTTTAAGTTCTTGTGTAATTTTGGGATTGTTTTAATGGTTTTATTCTTTTGTGTGATTTTTCTGTTCTTATTGTGTTTTAATCTTTTGTGGTGTGATTTTAATGTTTTAATTGTGTTTTAATCTTTTGTGTGATTTAAGTTTTAATTGTGATTCTGTGTTTGTTTTATGTGATGATTTGTGTTGTGGACTGTGATGCGCTTTTGTGTTGCCCTGTGTAAGAAAGGCGCTTACAAATAAATTTGATTGATTGATTGATTCTAGTAAAGACCAAGCTAAAAACTGTATTACACAAATGATAAGTATTTATATCTTGGTTGTTTAATACTTCATGGGTTTATTCGTCAGTAACTTGAAATTATAGACATTACCCACATTTATTATTTATTGCATGCATGTTTCTGTAGGTGATAAGTTATTGGCTCTAATTCATTGTTGCAACTACTTTTGCACTGTCACTAGGATTACTACTGCAACAAACACATCAGTAGCGTAAAACTAACGGTTCTCACCACGGTCTAAACCCTGTACAAGTTTCTTATTAGTGGAACAAAATCCAATGGTGAATTCTGTACTTCAGGAAGAATCAACGTTTAAAGGATCAAAGATATAAAAACAAGTAAGATAAGATCGGCTTATTATTCACAGAGGAGAAATTTACCAAAAAGCCACATGCCAGTTATCCTGTCGGTCTAAATGTCTGACACTTCTGCTGCTTAAAACCCAAACGTTAAAGAATTCTTAGGATCTTCGCTGCAAAGCAATTAGCCTAAACGGCAAGGCTCTTATTTCAAGTGCCAGCGTTTACCGACAACGGAAGAATAATGTAGTTCTAGACCTCGACAGTAAGTGGGCAGTGAAACGCTACGCCGACATACGCAACCCAGCGGTAGAAATCCACTTCCCAAAAACCTCCTCCTCGGGCCGCGCAAGACGTGAAGAATGCACGAAGAATTTTGCATTTAACAGTAGCTGCGGGAATTAGGGAACCTGAATCTACCGCTTTGCATGGTTTGTGTTGGACGAAAACGTGCTCGAGCAGACGAATGATTAGTTAGTTGTTAAAGTAGCAGGAAGTGTCCGACACGTTACCATGGATAAACTGGGCCTGTGGTTTTTTTGTAAATTCTCCTCTGGAGATAAATAAGCAAATCTTATCTTTTCTTATCTTTTTGCTCCTTTACCGGTGATTATTCCTGAAGCCGAAATTCACATTGGATTTTTGTTCCACTATTAAGAAAATTGTAAGGGTTTAGACGTGGTGAGACGGTTAGTTGTTACTCTAATGATGTGTTGTGGCAGAAGTAATCACTGTGCTTGTGCAAAAGTAGTTGCAACAAGGAATTAGAGCCAATAACTTTATCTCTACAGAAACTTGCATGCAATAGATAATAAAATGTGGTTTTGTTTATATTCTAAGTTTACTGATGGAAAAAACCCATGAAGTATTTAAACAAACAAGAAAATAATACGTTATCATTCTGTGTAATACTGTTTGTATCTGTGGTCTTTTATGAGTATCTGTAATCAATCATATGTTTATTTGTAGAGGCCTTTCTACACCGGCAACCAATGGCTTACACGTCCACATCACAAATCATCACATAAAAACACTCCAGATCACAATTAAAACATTAAAATCACACAAAAGATTAAAACTCAGTTTAAAACATTAAAATCCACACAAAAAGATTAAAATCACAATTAAACATTTAAAATCACCCAAGAATAAAAAGACATTAAAAACTTCAAATTACACATGAAATTAAAAATAATTAAAATAAATTTAATGACAGCTGTGCATTAGAAAATGCAGATAAGAATCCTTCAGTTGTATGCAAAGGCAAACAGAACAGTCTTTAACCTGGATTTGACATTGACAGAGTAGACGCCTCCCTCAATTGTCAGGGAGTTTGTTCCAGATCTTAGCTGCCTGATCTGAAACGCTGCCTCCCATGTTTGGTTCTCATCTTGGCACCAGGCAGGAGGCCAGTCCCTGTGCTCTCAGAGTCCGAGCCGGTTCATATTACACCAACAGGTCACTGCGGTGTGTGTGCGACTCTGACAGAGCAGTCGCATTCTCTTGCTGCTCCTCCCGCTTGCTGCTTTTTTATCTCCTTTAATATTTTTGAGTACATTTTTATTCCACAAATCACGGATTACTCATGTTTTCAAACTTCAACACATAGACTTGTTGGTATTTACCTAACTTACGCTTGTCAGGACTGATTTGGGTGTTTGCTGTAAGACGCCGATGGGACGGGAACAGAAAAAACATTTGGGACGGCTGTTTTTCACTCTTACGGAGCTAAAACTTCTTCAAGAACGAATGTTTGTGCTTGAATCAGGAATTGGGGCTGTACACAACAATACAGTGAAGGGAATGGACCTAAGTGGACAAAACGTAAGTTTTGATGACGCTTATTTCATTCCCAAAATCAAAGAGACATATGTTGGGAACAATTATGGTGCCATGCCCAAACAAGGCACAGCTAATGATAACAAGAGTGTATAATGCCAACATGCAAAAATCTTTAATTACAGAAACGCTTTTTCCACTTTGGGTAAGATGAAATCAGCGCAGTATCTCTCAGTCCAGTCTCAGTTCAGTCAAGGTCAATGCAGCTGAGTCGTCTTTAACGGCGATTCGGCGATAAGCACGTAAACATGCGTAATCTCAAGGTTCATCAGTACCCACTCTGCCAAAGGGATGGATAAGGCGGCTGGCTCGATGGCTTCTGTCTGAGGCGGCGGGGTAAAAGATTGTTGATCCACGTGGGGGCAGTTGACGTCTTATGGCAACACTAGTGAAAGTTGAAACGGGATTTACTCTCTCTTATGGACTGACCTGGCTAATATGGACGCATAACTTTCGGTATCAGTGGCCCACTACCAATGGTGGACGGTAAGCTAAATGAATTCAGTCGTCTGTATCAGCTAATACTTTTACTCAACGAATGTTCCGCAGAGGACTTGCCTTCATATTGAGAATTTTAAATTGTTACTGGAATAGGGCATGAGCTTTTTGAAGGGATAGGGCACCATTGAAACACTTACGGAGTAAAAGTGATTGATGGTTAACCTTTCTTTTAGACTGAGACCTCAGCCTGCGCAGCGCGTGCAGCCAATCGAAAGGGAGGCAAGGCCGAAGTAAAAGTCTCAGCACCTCCACCTCCTCGGAAGGAACTCAAAACATCCACACTTCGAAGGATCTCAACA